AGAGGGTCTGGCTTTTTGCCCAGGCCAAGCTGGACTACAATCCTCTTATTTTATACTTTCTGCACTTGCTGGGATGACAGATATGTGCCACACACCCAGCTTTCTTCAACTGAGATGGAATCTTGCAAACTATTTGGAACCATCATCCTCCTTATCTCAGCCTCCCTATAACTTGGAATGACAAGTACACCACTGTACCCAACTATTGATTGAGATGGGGTCTCTTGATCTTTTTGACCAGCCTTGAATGGCAATCTTCCCTATCTTAGCCTCCCAAGTAGCTAGGATTACAAGCATGAGCCACCACCATCTGGTGTTATATCTTTGACACTGGGTGAAGACTCTTACCTCTTAAAGACAGCCACCAGGATGTTTTTCTGAGAAAACAAATAACACAGAATTTCCACCTCTGCATGTAAGATTTTTCTACTACAAACCTATAGTAGTAGCTACTTAGAAAAGTCAGGCTGATTCCCTCTAGGATTTGGGATCTGCTCCTTTGTGTTTAATGCATACCACTGGGGCTGAAAAAGTTGACGTTCACTAGGGTGACTTATAGTTGACAAAAATTCTATAGATTTTGGCTGACCACTAGGTTTTGTCGATTTTTTGTCTTTTGAATCCATCCAGTCCTTTCCTTTCTACTGCCAATGACTCTCCTGGTTCAGCACTTCTTTATGTCATATCAACACTATCTCAGAACACCCCAATCAATGGGCTCACCCTGCAGCCTCTGCCTTCTGTCCACAGAGCTCTCTGCTGCCCACCATCTTTCTTAATGCAAACTTGGTCGTACGACAAAGTTCTAATAACTCATCACCTGCAGTGAAGTCTAACTGGATTTGAGGCCCTTTGTCATCTAACCATACCATACTTTGTCTGTGGCCATTTCCTCTGCCCTGAAATTCAAGTTAAATTGACTACTGTGCATTTCCCAGACCCTTTGACCCCACTGTTTCCTCTGGCTCCTCCATCTGAAATGCTTTTGCCTTTTCCTCCTCATTCTTCAGGGCAGCCCCTGGGCCACCTTCCCAGGAAGCCTTTCCTGTCTTCTGTAGCAGCTTCTGCTCTGCCTCTCTCAGTGGACACAGACTTGCCTCAAATCTGGCCCTTATCCCAGAATATGAGGCAAATTGCCAAGTTCATAGAATCTGCAGCCATTTTGCCTCAGGTTGAATCTTAGTGCCACCACTTACTAGTATTGGTACCATGGAAAACTCTCTTCACCTCCCTGTGACTCAATTTCCTCATCTGCAAAATAGGGGACATAAGAGTACCTTCCTCCTAATTATGTGTTCAAAAAGCTTCTAATGCATCAACACATTAAACATTAGCTTCCTCGGTGCACGTCTCTTTTCTTGATTTGATTGTGAAATCCTAGACAGGGCTGTCTTACCTGTCTCTGCATCCCCAGTGCCTAGCACACAGTAGATGCTTGGGACATATTTGCTTAGTGAAATGGCTTATTATTACTCTGCCAGCTGCTCATTTGTTCACTGGCTCAGCTGGTGGGATGGCAGAATTACTTCAATGAACTTGTATCAATTGGGGCGGTCAACATCAGGTCGAGTCCCTGTGTCTAGACAGCTTACAAATGCTGTGGATCTGGGTGACTTGGCCAGGGGATTGGCTTCCTCTCCGTCTGACTTCTTTATCACTGATCCCTGTTCTCTGTCTCTTAGAGGCCTATTAATACAGGGTGTTTCTTATCCAAAGGGACTTTGTAATTCAACACGCTTGCGCTTGGGTTGGAAATGTGTCCTCTTCCCATTGTGAACATTTGGTCTCTGTGGCATTCAGAGTTGGAGAATATGCCAGGACTTTGGGATGTTGTCACAGTTGAATGGAAGAGGAAGAAAAAGCTTTGGAGATATAAGAGGGCACAAAATATCAGGAGGCCTGCCATGGTTTAGGGTTGTCTATTTTGTGTTCACAATCCAGTAAATGGTTCAATTCCTGATTATTTCTACCAGGACAATAGTCTTTGCTGCTCAGGACTTGGCTGGAGAAAGGGTCCCATCATAAGCCCCTCGGCTAATGATGCCGGTAAGCATATGGATAGGGTTCAGCAAAAAACAACAAAGACGATTCAGGAAGCAGAAGTCTGGAGGGTGTGAAAGAGAATTCTAGGATTTGGGATGAGAGGAGGTACAATTCAGTAATTGATTTTCAGAAAGGGAAGGGCATATACACAGGAATCTGGAATTTTCTGCACAGCTGTGCTTTAGCAGGGACATTTAGGACAGCTCTTAGGCATAGGTGGCTATTCCTGTAGACAGGAAAGAGTGGCAGCTAAGACAGTTTTGTACCCTTCAGCCAAGACAACGGCAGTTCTCTACCACCGGTGTTCATGGTGGGCCTGATATGGACCAGGCATGTTGACAGGGAGCACAGTGACCATCCCCACCCAGACCCCTGACCTGTCCCTCTCACTTCTGCTCTCTTTGCCACTCTCCCTTCTGTAGACTGGAGGACTCTGGGGGCTTCTGGTTTGAGCTGGAGCTCTCAGCCTTTTATTATTATTATTATTATTATTTTTGGAAAGAGCCAATATTTCATTTGTATAGTCTTCCAGAACTGTTTGCAGAAACCCATGACCACGACTTCATTTTTTTCTATTTCCTCCTCCATTCTAGATCCACCTTCCCATTGATTCCTCAGGCCTACTTGTCTCCCCCTTTTCCCTCTTTCTTCTCCTTTTCTGCTTTCTGGGGGCTCCTTACTCTCCTCTCTTGTAATTCTTTGCACCTTCAGCTTCTCATTATTGGCCAGGTAGGGAGGGGGATGCCATAAGCCTGAGCCTGGCATCCTGATAGCCCTTGGTGACAGCCAGTGTTGGGAACTGCCCTGGGTGGGACAATCCTGGGTTGGCAAGAACCTTAGTTTCTGTGTTGCTGTGTAACGTCATGTCTTCACTCATTCTACATTTACTGAATGTTTACCACATGGTTGTGATGTGTTCTGGTATTGGACAGAATGAGATGTTAACAAGATCTTGTTTTACTCAAAGCTCACAAGCTGGTCAGCAATCTGCTGCTTTTGTAATGAACTATAAAGAAAAGCATTAACAACACAAAAAAGACTTGGGTGGATGGAGGAAATATTTCTTTCAATGTCAACTCCATCTTGGGTAGTCACTGGAGTGGTCACCATGCTAGAAAAAAAATTGCTGATGCCAGGTTATTTGACTGAGAAATAGCCCACTTCCTTTCCTCTTAGGGCATGAATAACAAGAACGACACGTATTACTAGCCTCTTTCTACTGAAGTGTTCATGCCAATGTGTCAACAGCCACGTTTTGACCACTGCTTATTAAAAGGCAGACCCAGCTTTTAGTCCTACAAAACTCTAATTTTTGTAGAAGAATGGAAAGAAACTTCCCATGAATCTCTTTTTAGAAGAAGTAAGTGGATGGCAGGAGGAAGGAAGTAGTGTAGTAAAAAACCAGTGGGTCTGGAGTTGGAAAATTAGACCTCTAGTCACAGCTATTCACCAATTGAATCAATGTGCCTGGCCTTAGTTTTCTCACCTGCAAAATGGGAATGGTAACAGTATCCACCTGGTGGGGTCATTGTGCGAAGTGGATGAGAAATGAATATAAAGCACTTACACCACAGGACCAGCTGTGGCTAGGAGGGCAAAGAACATCAGATGACGATGGAAAAGGACAGGTTGTGTGATTTTGGGAAAATCACTTTTATTGGTCACTATTTCCTCCTGCGAAATGAGTGAGTTTCACAGGATCTTTGGGCATTCTGCTTGGTCACACTGGGCATTCAGAGAGGGTCAGGGATAGGCGCACACACAGACAACTCTAGCAGAAGATTTGATCCCAGAGAGCCAGGTTCAGGAGCATAAGTGCTCAGGGCAGGGAGTCCTGGAGAGCTTGGTGGGAGGCAGTGTTTTGCCTGGGCTTTGAAGGATGGGTGGAGATATGGTGTCTTCCCAGGCTCCAAAAGACTCTGTCCTGAAGATAAAGGCCAAAGTAAGCTCATCAGCTTCCTCATGACTTGGCTCCAGCTCCCTTTCCTGCTTCTCCACCATGCCCCTTGTGCTGTGATAATTTACAGTTCTTAAAAACTCATTGCTTCCCTCCATCTTTACACATGCCCCTTCTCTTGGACTGCAATTGCCTCCTCCAGTGCTAGGGGGCAGCAGAGAGCACAGGCAAAGCCCTCGGGTTGGATTGGGAGGTTCTCAGTTACTCCCATTCAGCAGCCAGTGGGGCGCCTACTGTTACTCAATTACTTCCCGAGTCAATTTGCAAAATGGGGATACAGAGTAAGAAAGGTTCCTACCTTCAAGTGAACTGATGTAATGCGTCAAAGTGCTGTCAGCTGGGCGCACAGTATCCTTGAATAAATATGAACAGGTGTGAGGGACAATCTTCAGTCTGGCTAACTCCTACTTGCATGTCTGGTCTTAGGTTAGTCGCTTCCTCGGGGAACCCTTGTCTGTCCTAAGGCCGTGCACACTCTCATAGTACACGGCATCTCCTCGTCTCCATAGCACAGACACTTGTCATCTCTCGGGGTGGGTAGGAGGACACATCAGAATGCAAAACCCATGAAGACAGGGGTCAGTCAATTGTGTTGCTTGCTAGGAGGGACATGTGATAGGTACCCAATAAATCTGAATGACATAGGATGAGGGTCCCCGGAGTGATCCCAGTGATCCCTGGGTGTGGCAAAGACTGTTGGCCGCAGCCTGGTGTGGGGGTGCAATGGTCAGCAACAGGTCATGAGGCCAAACGGGTAGGCGACAGAGCGAGCCTGGATGTGTCCAGGGCTCCTTCTTCCCGGGGACTGACTTGGGAGGGCACAGTGCCAAGGGAGAAGATAGCACTCAACTTTGGCCGGGTCTGCACGCTGGGGAGAAAATGCAGCAGGACAGGTCGGGCTAGAGCGCTTCGGCCCTGCTCCCGCCCCCGCCCCGCCCCTCCGGCCCCGCCCCCGCCTCCGCCCCGCCCCTCCGGCCGTCCCACTTTGGTTCCAGCGGAGCTGAATTTGGAGCTACAAGTGGCCGGTGCCACCCCCGCTCTGGCCGCGCCCCGCAAGCTTTTTCTGCCCCAAAGGAGCGCGGGTGCCCAGCCCACTACCGACAGCCGCTGCGGGATGCTGCGCTCCACGTCCACGGTCACCCTGCTCTCGGGCGGGGGGGCCAGGGAGCCCGGGGCGCCCAGCAGGAGGGTGAGTAACTGGGGAGAGACCCGCCGCTGTTCCCCCATCCTGGCTGCCCCTCTGGAGAGAACTGGGGATGAGGCGCCGACACCCAACCCTGGGCTCAACTTTCCCAACTTGTCCCAACTTGGGCCTTGACCTTCCCTCTCGACCCCAAATGGGCGCCCCACCAGCTGAAAGAGGGGACTGTCTGGAATTCCCAGAACTTTCCTCTCCTTCGTGTTTCCTGCCAAGCCAAGATTATTGGTGGCACCCGTTTAAAAAGTAAAGGAGACCTTGTTCAGACCCTACCGAGATTCACAAGTAATGAATGTATTTAAAATCCAAACTTTCTTCCATTGCTTAAAGAAAAGTGACCCCGTGTCCACTGGTGTTAGAATAATACTGATTCTGGAGTACCAACACTGGTGCCTATTTGCAAACCAGAGGTCAGGGGCTGGCCAGCCACTGGGGAAGCCCGGTTGTGTGGGGCTTTAGTTTATGCAAGCCAGTATCTTCTTTCTGATTTCAACATTAGCACTGTGGCAACAGAGGTGGTCCTGAAAGCCCTGGGGCATCACTGTTGAAGCTGTTTCTCTGCAGTCTTTGTGGCATCTTTTCTCACCTCTCCAGATGCGTTGTGAAAGAATTGCTAGGAGTGTCTTCCAAGATCAAGGCCTCAGAGCACACTGTTAGAGGGCTTGGTCTGTAGTTTTGTTAGTTCTTCCTTTATTATGAGATTTAATACTTACCATCTGGCACCTCTTTTCTGTGTTTGAGACTTCTGTAATCATCTTTCTGCAAGGTTTAGCTAAACAGGTGATTAAATCCAAACCAAAAGTGCATTTGGTACTCCCGTCTGTCTGCTAGACTTGTAGACATGATTATTTGCTTTTACATATCTCAACCTTATAAGCTTGCTTTCTTTAGCTGTAGGAGAAAGGTGTATCATATTCTTGGGTGTGGGCCAAGTGATGGGTTCTGGGTGTGTGTATTTGTGTGTTGTGTGTATACCAGACTCTTAAGGTCAACAGAACTCTGGTTGATTAATAATTAACTTCATAAAGCAGGATCCACCTCAGGTGCAAGTCTATTTGCAATCACAAGTCTAGTCTTAGCCCAAGATGGATAGCTGACCTTTTTCTATGGAGATTTTTGGTGACTGGAATGAAATTTTGCTCAACAAAGAATGGTAACTGTAAAGATAGCCCTGAGCTGGGGGTACAGTTCCCTACCTGAGGTAGGAGGGGTCTGGCTGGGGTGGCAGGTGTGATAGTGTGAGTAGATACAAATGTGATTAGTATACTTGATAACATTTTTGAAGATTTTTCTCGAATATTTGCTTTTGAATATGCCTTTAGTTATAAGTGCTTTGGTGTCTGGCCCACTGTAAAACCCTATTGAGAATGCTTCGTCTTTGGATGTGACTTGGTAAATATTTTGGACTGGAGGACTCGGGGCTCTGAATCAGACCGCACAGGTACTTGTTCTGGAAAGAAGGTATCTAAAAGTCCTAAGATTTTCCCTATCTTTATGGTTCTCAACTTTGCCTGTGATTTGCAAACATCGTTGTTGCTCTGTGTGTGTGTGTGTGTGTGTGTGTGTGTGTGTGTGTGTTTCAGGGACGTGTGAGGGAAGCTATGGTTCACTGACTGATGAATTGGCTAATTGGACATTTATAGGTCTTCTTCTGTGTGGTGTAGGGCTGGACACTGGGGTCCAGTCTATGCATCAGAAACTGCCACTATATAAATCAGTAATTGTTATAGAGTGTTTCCAAAGTTCTGTGAAGTAAAGAGGCATGGCTCTTCCTGGGGCAACTGAGGGAGGCCTCTCACGACAGGTAATGTTGTACTTAATCTTACAGCATTTGTAGGAATTGTATTGATATTCTTGATACCAAAAAGAGAAACTATCATTTGTCCAAATGGAATATTTAGCATATACTGTATGGCAATGCATGTTTGGCCTGCTTTGGGACAAAACACTTATTTTTTATCTTTTTAGAAAAATAAGAATTTCCAAGGATGCCTTGAAAATACAATTGTAGATGAAACAAATAATCATTGTATCATTGTCTCATGTCTCCCTGATGGTGGACAAGTGATTGTCTTGAACAGGCACTCATTAGCTATTAAAAGAAAGCATCTATTTCATCCAAATTATTTACCAAATAAGTGACTGTGGGGAAAACTAGGCTGTGTTGGTCTAGAGATGCAAGCCAACCAGAAATGGTGGTGACAGGTGATACTGAGCAGGGAGTTCTTTGAGTCAGCCCTATAGGGCAGTGCAGCCAACCAGACTGTCACCACTTATCCTTTGTTCAGTGACTGCAACCTACAGCTGTGTTTCCTTCTTATCTGAAATCACTGGGGGTGGGGTGGGGGTGGGAAACAGGTGGGGAGAGTAATTTCTGTTAGTTGATAAAACTGAGAGGCGTTTATGGATGTCAACCACCAGCAGTTGTGAAATTAAAAAAAAAATCTGCCTACAAACCAGTTGTACACTAAAAATAATTTTATCTATGGCAACAGCAGGAAGATAAATTGAAGAATAAGCACAGCCAGAGTGATGACCTTGGGGAACAGGAGGTGGGGGACATTTTAAAAAATATTGACATTACTTCATGATTTTGAAGACAATTTTGTAATCCAACATTAATCCTGTTGCATGAGTCTTTGACATGAATGGTCAGTTGTCTGGCCAGGTTGTTTGCTGGGGTCACATGGTATGTGTGGCCTCCTACAGCCCTGTTCTTTTGGCTAAGCTGTTGGGTTAAGTTGGTGTGAGGCGCTAGGCTTGTCAAGGCTTTTCTCCAGTGCTTGCTCTGTTGATAAAGAGGACTGCTGGCTGGTGTTGCTAGTGTTGTAGCTTCTCAGTGGCCGTAATAATTAAACCCAAACAAGGCCAAACAAGGATTGTTTGTAGCACTGAGGAGGCTTCTGAAGCAGGGGCGACAGGTGACTGGATTTTGAGTTTGCAAAGGCTTCCTTTGTTAAAAACTGCTATTGGCCTGCCAGCCATCACTCCCTACTCACCGATGTTCCATTTCTGTCTAATGGCTCAAAAAAAGGAATTTCCCTTAGCTGGCCTGTGAATGGGTCAGACAGGTTTTTACCTCACTTTTTCCAGTAGACAGAGGTATCTGTGTACCTAAACTCTACACCGTCCTACAGCGTGTTGTGGGATCTCGGCATGTGGGGGAAAGAAGCTGGGTCTAGCATCTACCGAGGGAGGGAAGGTGTGTTCTTTGCATCCTGAAAACTGGCTGGTTCCTCACTGGAGTCCTCTAGATTCAGCCCTTGGCAGGCCAAGCTGTGAGGTTGTAGAACTGTGGTATTCTCAGGGCTTAGCCAGAAAGTCCCCGTCACAAAAATATGACAGTTCTAAGTTCAAAAAAAGATTCCCAACTTCTGGGCTTTTATTCTTCCATCTTGCTGTGTTCAATGTAGGAAGAATGGAATTAGAACTCTTAAGCAAACCTGATTTGTGGAGATAAATCCATATTTATGGAGATATGCAGTTGTTCTGCAAGGTATAGAATGTAATTCTGACCTGTGCTCCCTGTCTCCAGGATACAGCAGAAGGCCTGCATATGAAGTCCCTGTTGAAGTTTCTCTAGACTGTGCATCTACATCTAAGAGACTTGAACCAGGCTGGTGTTGCAGTCAAGCTTCTGGTCACTTGGGAGACGCTTTCAAATCTAGTTGAGATTAAGGAGCCTTAGGTCCAGGACTGACTAACTAGATAGCATGTTGAAATGCTTCAGCCTGAGATGCTGTCAGTGATTACCTGCATTATGGTCTTAAAATGATTCCTGTACTTTCCCAATACTCAGGAGGGTAATACAGTGGTGTTTGCCTCTTTCCCTCTTCAGGTGAGTGATATTTCTTAAATGTCAATTGCACTGCTAACTTTTTGTTTTTTCAGTACATGGGATTGAACTCAGAGCTTTCTGTTTGCTAGGCAAGTGCTCTGCCACTTGAGCCATGCTCCCAGTCCACTTGTTTTAGTTTGTTTCTCAGATCTGGTCTTACAGTTTTGCCCCAGAGACCCTGGACTACAGTTCTGCTACCTCCCTCTCCTGAGTAGCTGAGATTGCAGGCCTGCACCACCACACCTGGCCAGACTGCAGGCTCTAATTCATTCTTGATGGTAGAGTAGTGTTATCTTTCTAAAATGCAAAATCCAGTCACCTATCTCCTCTGCTTCAGGAGCCTCCTTGTTATTATGAGGAAGAAGTTCAAGCTCTTCAGTGTAATATCCAGGCTCTCTGGTCTGGCTTTCTGTCCTCCATTCTCAAGCATACTCTTCCCAGATACTCCAAAATTATTTGCTATTTCCCAAGCTTCCAATGCTATTCCTCTCTTTTCTCTGATGAGGGCCATCTCTTCCAGGAAATCTGCCCTGAGTTTTCCTCCCATGGCTCGTGCACCCTTCAACCCCCATTTTGTGAATCAGCTATGATCAGCTACCAGAGGAGAAGGTAGGGGCCCTCTCTCCACAGGCCTGGGTAGAATGGGTGCTTAAAAGGAGGCGTCTCCCCGGGGTCCTAAAGAAGCCACACTCAATATCTAGTTGGCAAACAGAAACATAGGAAGAGAAGCCTTGGGATAGAGCCAGCCCAACAGCTCTGACCCACCTGGGCAGGAAGCAAGTGATAAGTGAGGAATTCGTGCTAGCCCAGGTGAGGAATGTGACATTTCTAGGAAGGCCTCCAAATAGTCTAGTTGCCTCATCTTGTTGCACTGTGGTGTCTCATTCCTTTGTTTACGTCACTGGTTCTCAACCTGGTTCCACCAGGAAACTTAAAATTGCTATGCCCAGACCTCCTCCAAAACAATTCAGTGAGAACATGAAAGCAAGGAATGGCATCCATGTTTTTCGGGAATCTACCCAGATGACTTTGAGTGCAGCCGAGGATGAGAATAGTTCTTTAAGCATTGTTCCTGTCTTACAGCTTTCTTGGAAATGCAGAAACTCCTGGGATAGTCCCTTGGGCCTTGTAAGATGGAGGGCAAGGTGGTGAC